AGGTCTCATCGAGTGCTACTTAGCCTCCAACAGCATTCGGGAAGCGATGGTCATGGCTAACAATGTTTACAAGACCCTGGGCGCCAACGCACAGACCCTCACCCTTTTAGCCACGGTCTGTCTCAAGGACCCAGTCACTCAGGAGAAAGCCAAAAGCCTGTTAGACAAAGCGCTCAGCCAGCGGCCCGACTACATCAAAGCGGTGGTGAAGAAGGCGGAGCTGCTCAGCAGAGAGCAGAAGTACGAAGATGGGATAGCCCTGCTGAGGAACGCCCTGGCTAACCAGAGCGACTGCGTGCTGCATCGCATCCTAGGCGACTTCCTGGTCGCCCTCAATGAGTACCAGGAGGCCATGGACCAGTATAGTATAGCGCTCAGTTTGGACCCCAATGACCAGAAGTCTCTAGAGGGGATGCAGAAGATGGAGAAGGAGGAGAGCCCGGCGGACTCAGCTCAGGAGGAGGACGTGGACGACATGGAGGGGAGTGGGGAAGAGGGCAGCGACAGTGAGGCCCAGTGGGCCGACCAGGAGCAGTTGTTCGGCATGCAGTGAGGCCAGCGGCCCACAGCAGGTGTCCCCAGGCTGCCCCTGGTGACCTTTTCTTCAGAACTGAGCCTGCCCCACCTCCTGTCTGTGTCCACCCTCCACCTCCCCCCCCTGCAGCCAAGGAGGACTCTGGGAGCTCTGAGGCCACGCTCACGCAGGGACTTCTGGAACAAGACAGCTTCTAACTTCCAGCCACAAGTGCGGGGACTAGGAGGCACACGTTGGGAAGGAGTGACCGGTCATTCCAGAGAAGAACATCCTCTCTGGTCAGGTCGGGACACGGCTGGCCCTCCCTGAAGAGGTCTTCCATCCCCAGAAGCCACCGTCCTGGCTGCGCTGGTGTCCCCAGGCACCTCACTGCCCTCTGCAGCGTTCATCATGCCTCTAGTGACGGGACACATTGCTGTTTGCTGACCCTGTCACCACTCACCACCTGTGAATCTGGGCAGCACTGGGACCGGGTGACCAGAGCACGAGCCGAGGGTAACCTGGAGGGATGAACTACTAATAAAGTGATTTTTGTACAGTTAAAAAAAAAAAAAAAGCGGAAGAGCCTAGATGAGATGGATTGACACAGTAAATGGGGTAAATGGGGTAAGTGTGTCAGAGAGAGTGAGACTGGCTCAGGACAGGCCCTGGCTGTTGTGCATGGGGGTCTCTATGAGTTGTAGTCAAAACTGATGGCACATAACAATGACAAGCACCTGCTGTTGAGTTGACATTGATTTGTGACAATTTCATACACAACAAGAATAGACTGCTAGAACCCACAGGATTTTCAGTGCTTGATTTTTTGGAAGTAGGTCATCAGACTTTTCTTCTTAGCCTGTCTTAATCTGGGACGTCTACTGAAAACAGCTCAGTATCACAGAAACACACAAGCCTCCCGTGGTAGATGGGTAATGACTATGCATGGGGTGCACTGGTCAAAATCCAAACCCAGGTCTCATGCATGAAAGGTGAGAATTCTACCACTACCCTGATCCATTCGATTACAAGTCTGCCTCTAACTTGGCTATTTCCCTCTCTGCTTTACACAATCCACTCTTACAACATGTAAGTCCAGTGTATCTTTGCCTTTTTCAAGCCCTTATGTTGACATTTTAAAGTCTATTTCTCTAAACCAATTTCTCCTCATTCCAGTCCAACCTGTATAGCAATGTCAGACATCAATTTTCCTACACACTGTCCCTGCTAACAACTACCCTAAGAAAATAATTCAACATTTAATTCAGTTCTGAAGACTCCACCCTCTTCTGAAAGCTTGTTTAACACAAGTCACTTTGTAGAATCTTCTGATCCAGGCAGATCAACCTTCTCATTGAGTCACTGAGTCATGAACATGTGAATTTATTCCTGCGTTCACTTCCGAAATGGCTCGCCTCCAGAGACTCAATGAATATGGAGAAATGACCAAAGTTATACAAGTGTTCAGGTCTTTCATTCATAGGGTCACTATGAGTCGTATACAACTCGACAGCACTGTTAACAACAATAACTACATATCCTGACTTATGGGTCTCTGTCCAAGATATTTAACATTCCTGAACCTAAATTTCTTTATCTATAAAATCTCTTTATTTGTATAATAGGAATTGTAATACCAGTCAGGACTTTCTGAGGTACAATTAAGAATAATCCACTTGCAAGTGCTTTCTAAATCATTAGGCTATGGGAAACATGAGCTATTATAAATCCTGGTCTTGAAGGAAGACTCATCAACAACCTGTGTTGTGCAGATGATACAACCTTGCTTGCCAAAACTGAGGAGGACCTGAGGCATTTCTGTAAGCTGCTGTTGTTGTTATTACTGTCGAGTCACCTGCAACTCATAGCGACCCTATGTACAACAGCCCTAAACCCTGCTCTATCCTGTGCCAATCTTATTGTCTCTGACATGCCTACCCCAATTACCTCAGTCACTGAGTCAGTCCTTCTCATAGAGCATCTTCCTCTTCCACGCTGTCCCTCCACCCTTCCAAGCATGATGTCTCCTTCCAAAAATTGGTCCCTCCTTGCAACATGTCCAAAGTATGTTAGATTAAGCTTCAGAATCCTTGCCTCCAAGGGGCATCCTGGTTTAACTCTCTCTAGGACAAACCTGTTTGATTTCTTAGCAGTCCATGGTATATTCAATACTCTTCTCTAACACCACAGCTCAAAGGTATTGATTCTCCTTCTATCATCCCTAGTCACTGTCCAGCTCTCTGATGCATAGCAAGTGATTGAAAAGACCATGGACTCTATCAGGCACACTTTAGTCTCCAGAGTGACACCATTGCTCTTCAGTACTTTGGAGAGGTCTCTAACAGCAGACTTTCCCATCGCAATAAGTCATCTGATTTCCTGGCTGCTGGTGCTAAGAATGTTGACTGTGGAGCCAAGGAAACTAAAGCTGTTAACAGTCACATCTCTTCACTATCCATCATGATGCTGCCAATTGGTCCAGTGGTGAGAATCTTTGTCTTCTTGATATTGAGCTTCAATCCATATTGAAGGTTGCAGTCCTTGACCTTCTGCAGCAAGTGCTTCAGGTCTTCCTCAGTTTCAGTAAGCAGGGTTGTGTCATCTGCATAATGCAGATTATTGATAAGTCTTCCTCCAATCCTGATGCCACATTTTTCCTCATACAACCCAGCCTCCTGGATAATCTGTTCTGCATATAGACTGAAAAGCTATGGAGACAGGACACATCCGTGACATATTCCCTTCCCAATTTTGAACCATGCAGTGTTTCCTTGCTCTGTTCTGATGACTATTTACTGGTCCAAGTACAGGTCTGGGTTTAGACTGGGTTATGGTACTAGGGATATTGTAGCTAATGTTAGATGGATCTTGGCTGAAAGCTGGGAGTACCAGAAGAATGTCTATCTGTGTTTCATTGATTATGCAAAGGTGTTTGACAGTGTGGATCACAACAAATTGTGGCCAACTCTAAGAGGTATGTAAGAGACAATGAAATTGGCTCAAGATAGGGCAGGGTTCAGAACTTTTGTCCATAGGGTTGCCATGATTTGCAAGTGACTTGACAGTACTTAATAACAACAACTTACACACATACCCCCGTCACCCCAGTCATTGAGTTGTACGTGACAGACAACGCAATAGCATATAACAACAACATTCACATTTGTGTTACCACATTTAACATTAAACCACTGAAATTTTCCCACTTGGATGTACAAGGATTTCTTTCACCTTTGACTAGCTTATTTTAAAGTAGAACTTCATGGACATTTCGTTGATATTCATCTTGGATGTTTGCCCTAAACAGAGAGATCTCATAAGGTGATATTCATTCAGCCTCTTTTGTTCTTTTCAAGGTCTTACACGAAGTCTGAGTTTCTGGATGTGGCAGATCGTCACACAGACTTAGCTGCTAAAAGAAAGGTTAGAGGTTCCAGAAGCACCTCAGAAGAAAGGCCTGGTGATCTACTCTGAAACACATGGAGTCACCGTGAATCAGAATCAGTTCCTTGGCAACTGCTGATAAACACCATGTAGACAACAAATACGTGCTCACTGATTGCTATATTTGAGTATTTAAAGTAAACGAGAGCAGCAGAATCTCATCTCAATAACTTTCCTCATAAGGAAAGAAAATACATGCTGATTAGTAAGAAACTATCTATAAAGTGCTAAAAATAATTTAAGAAGCATTTGCCACAAATAGAACTTCCCACTTTGGTTGACTTTGAAATGATGATTTCCACTGGTGATTTGAATTCCAAACTTTGAATTTGCACTTTATAAATTCTGGAAATGCAGTATGGCTTTGCAGAGCCAATCAAATATCACAGAAGTTAGGGACTCTGGACAAATTGAATGTTTGGGGTGGTCAGTTTTTCAGATTTTGCTATGACTTTCCCCATCTTCTGCCTTACTCTCAGAGGAAAGGTTTTTATTTGTTTGTGGTTGTTTCAGCTATAAAAGCAAGCAAGCCCCTGTTCCATTCCCTAACGGCCCTTTGATCGTTAAAGGATGATTTATAGTTCAGAGAGTTTAGTGAGCTCATTTTCCCTTAGATTGCTCAGCACACTCCCTAATCAGACACTTTCTTCCTTCTCCTTTCTCCTGGGGCTGCCAGCTGCCAGCTCCCTTAAGAGGTGCCATCTCTCCTACACAAAGATGACACAGCCCGTATTATTTATAGGCACCCATATTTGAAGTGCAACCGTGCACTTGTAAATGGGAATAACACTGGGGAAGTCTAGAATTATGGGACTATCAGAAAATTCACCATCACCTATAACAGACTGTTACCCAGTAAATGCTGTGCCTGACAGATGAGAAGTCTGGGGCAGTCTTAAAAATTGTATGCGGAGTTTATGGTATAAGGAAAAAAATTCTATAACTCACCTAGAAAATGATCACAGTTTATTGGTATTTTGTATTTTATTTTTAAATCGTTAACGATCGCTGTTGGAAATGGTGCAACAAACGTACAGCTTTTATACATTACGGTACTACAATACAGAGTGCATATTTTAAAAATTCTTTTGAAAGAAAGTTGGGTAAAATGTATAAAGAGCTGCAAGCTGTTCTCACCTTTTTGTAATTCTACACAGAAATGACTTAAAAAATAATACAAGTGGAAAAAATCTAACTGCCTCAAATATTTATCTATTCAAATGATTACATGGAACAGTGTATGTAAATGATAGTCTACTTAAGCATGGAAATTGCAGCCACGAAAAGTCAGCTACAAAATATACTTTATTGCCACTGCTGATGAAGCTCTCACCTGAAAAACCAAAGGAAGTTACCTGGTGTGCTTCTAATTTGAGTAACATAAAGACCTAATGCAATGAAGACCAATGAGACAGACTGGATACGGTCACTGTGACAGTGAGCTTAAGCACAGTAGAGGTTGTAAGGATGGCTCAGCACTGGGCAAGATTTCAATCTGTTGTACATAGAGTCACAGTGAGACCAGGTGGCTCAATGGCATCTAAGGACAACAGAGAAATGAGCTATAGTCAGCCTCCCTTGTCCTTTTCAAGGAC